AACTAAGCACACTTCCTGACCTCCAGGGCATTTTATACAGGGAGGCAGACACCTACACAGCAAATACCAATTCCATACCATAAGTGTATCACATACACTTGATTAAGATATAAAAGGAGGAGAAAGTAAACAATCAGTTCTTCCTAAAAGGGAAAGTGATTCATAGAATTGACAGTGGAGACAGTATTTAAGTTCTACTTTTTCTTTTTTAAGTATATGATTTTACCAAGTGGAAACAGTGAGAAGGCAGTCTTCCAAGGAAGACAGGGAGGTACAAGTAAAGCCAACTTCATGAATTATGAGTCCCCTAGATAATTTGAAAACCAGGAGTTAGGGAACTAGTGGGAGGTAAAAGATGACACTAGAACAAAGGCAGAGAAGAGATTGTGAAGGAATTTATTGCCAAGCAGTGTAGATTTTAATTCTGCAGCAAACAAGACAATAAGTAAAGCAAGTTCTAAAAGGAGGGTATGAAACATTAGCCCTTTATAGTAATTGACTGTTTACCTATTTCCGTTCTCCTTTTCACTATACACTCCACGAGAGCAAGGACCTGGTATTGATTGTGTTTCTTCAGAAACTAGAAGAGTACTTATATATAGTAGGCACTAAAAAAAAAAAAAAAAGTTGGATCATTCTTTGAAACAGTGATTATATAAGTATTAACAAGTACAACCAGCAAATGATTATTGTAATAAGTGAAGCAAGAGAAAATAAAGGCAAAATATGGGCAGTGATAATAGATTTTGTATAGAATCAGCACAACTTAGTAACTCATGGACAGGGGTTTGATAAAGTGAAAAGTCCAATATTAAAATGGGATTTCAAACCTGGGTAACTAAGTAGATGGTGATGTTTTAACCCCAACAGGAATATAGGAGGGAAAGCAGGTTCAGGGGAAATATTAAGATTTTATTTGAATCCCTTAAAGTTAAGATTCACATGGGACATGATCTGATAATCACCAGTCAACAGTATAAGGGAAAAATAATTCCCCAATTTTAGTACTTATCTGGTGAATAAAAATAATTATTTAATATATTATAACTTTGTTCAAATTTATGTCATCCATATCTTTTGAATGCCTTAGAGGGATAAGAAAAGTATTTATTATCAAATCCATTTGAGATCATTATAATTCACTATCTCTACAGCAGAAACAGGGGAGGTAGAAATAGATTAAGTAACTGGCTCCAAAGTCCTGAATTGCACCTGGGGAGGGGATAAATACAGGCAATGTAACCGTCAATCCAAATTATCACCACAAACTTTATTATGTGGTAGATAAAATATAGACATGATATAATGTTAAATAAACTAAAATTGTTTTAAACCTACAATAGAGTTTGGGGGTCATTGTGATTTCTTTAGATTCTTGATATTACTGACATCATATTAGAAATGGCCAAGCTGATACAAAATTCTACATCCAGTACAAACTCATTGCTTATATGAAAATGTTAAATCCCTGTAATCTCCTTCTTTCACATACCTTCTTGAGGCAAACAAATAAACAAACAACACTATTTCACTTGCAAAATGTTTTCCCTAGAACATTTAAAGAATTCCTTTATTTTGTTTTCTTTAACAACAGCACAAGAAAAATATACTCTTATCACTATATGGTTTCTCAACACCACCCATATCAAAATCATCTTAAGTATTAGGAAACTATAAATTTGAAAAAAAAAATCATTAGTCAATAGTACATTAAAGTCCCAGTTAAAGGAAGTAATTTTTGTCTAAAATAGAAAAAGATGATCTGGGATTTTGTGATTCATTGTGTTCAGGATATAAGTGATTTCTTACAGGGTTTTGATTCCAATGTAATTTAACATACCAATAAACATTTCTGGGCTACTTTTTGAAGGAAAATGAAAGAAATTAACTTTTTTGTGTGACTTCAAGAAGTGTTTTTGAAAATTTCTTAAAGCAAGCCATTGAGACTTCTAAAAAAAAGTCTAGGGATGTTGAGACTTGACTAACATTCAAGAATCCTGGAGTTTGTCCATTGACTTCAGTACAAAGCAAATAGTAAGTTAATTCTGTAACATGAGGCACTTGGGGAAGTGGCCAAAATTGGAAAACAGGTGAGAAAAGCTGAAATGTTTTGAAACTATAAAAATAGAATCACCTCCAAATATATTTTCCAAGAGCAATAATGTATTGTATAATTTTTACATATTTAAAAATATAACAGACAAAGCACTGTTGCCAATAGGATTCTCTCACCTAGCCACATATTTGAATACCATCCTTTCATAATTTCCCTATACTTATCTATTTTGTTGATTATAAAATGTAATCATAGACTATAAAGTTGCTTGTAATCTTCACAGTGTAACTAACCCTCCTATAGAAAATCACTAGGAAACAAATAACAGGTTAGATTCCAGCAGTATTCTAATAAAACAACTCCTTAGTTTAATAATAGCAGCTCTAAATTGGCATTACTGCACAAAATACAAAAGATGCAGAGCTCAGGTGGGAAGCTTATAATTCACAAGAAACCAGGGGAGTCTTCATTTGACTCTTTATTATCTTTAATGAGAAGATGAAACTTGTCACTAATGAATTTTAAGATTGTATAAAGTGTCTCCCAAGGAGTTATAGATAGAACTAATTTCAAAGTACTTGGTATTCACATAGATTAGAATCTTGCTGAAATACTTCAGTGTTACTCTCTGAGGAATTACGAAGTCATTGAGAAAAATCAACTCGTTACTATAAAGCACCTACTCTGCTCAGCCTTACGGGAGGTAGCTTTGAGAAACCTAATGAATGGGGGGAGACATAGCATCTATGGGAAAATAAGAGAGAAAAACAACCTAATATAGAACATTTCACATTCATAGTTTCACATTGCACATTTCATAGTGCAGACAATAGATGTGATGGGAATGCCACTAGAGGAAATATCACCATGGGGACTTTCACGGAAGAGGTGTGAGGTGAGATCAGGGAGAAACAAATTGGGAAATAATCCTGGCAGGGGAATACCAAAAGGGAAAGGAGAGGAGGCAGGATTGAACCAGTATAGATGATAATAACAACAAATGGAGCAGGAGAAGACAGAGCTAGTTGGGAGAGATGAGGTCCAGCAAAGGAGGATAAGCCTTACGGCTTTGATCTATAAATTATGTCTGAGAGGCACCTATGGCATAAAAGTTAAGAGCTTAAACTCTGAGACAGACTACTCGACACTGCCACTTAGCTCTTTGATGGGCAAGTGCTTTAATTTTCTATCTCAATTTCCTTATCTGTGTAATAAGGCTAATAATAATTTGTATTAATACAAGCAAAGTGCTTGCAAGCTCTTTTGTATCAAAACTGACATTCTTAGGGAGAGGTATATATATGTTTCTCTGGCAGCATGGTCAAGGTAGATTGAAAAGGTTAACTCTGGGTAGGTGAACTCAGGCAGTCACTGTAGTAACCCAGCATTTCCCCTTAACATTCATGATCCATTACAATTGAAACTGGAATACCGGTCTCAGAATTTCCATATAGAAGTATAAAAAATGATCTTTTATTTTCCCTACCTTGCTAACCAAGTGTTTGCATCCAGCTCCTGTTTCCAAGCTCTCTGAAACCAATGGCCAAATAAAAGATTTCATGACAAAGTGTCAGATTTAAAATCTGGATCTTCTAGTTCCTTGCTACAATAGTGCTGACAGTTCATTTGACCTCAGGATTTTCTGATAAAGTTCTATATCTGTGTTTGGGTGAAAGTAATGACTTTGAGGAACATTATGGAAATCCACCAAAATGGGAAATTTCTTTGGATTCTAATACTATGCATGATAAATTGGGAGCTTTATTACTACATTTAACCTTTAGCACATCTTTCTTTAAAATATAGATTCAAATGTAAAATCTAGCATTTGCAGACATTTTACTAATTTGTTACAGTCACCCCTTTTAACCCACAAGGCTTTGAGTTCATAACAGAGACATGAATTACAATATGAGGTCTAATATTTCCATCATTGGTACACATAATTTCTTTCCAGATCTTCTTTGTACTTACGAGGAAAAAATGTGCACAGTGCAGATTCAATTGCTAAAAATTTCAATGAGAAGCAAGGAATATAGAAGTAAAAAATAAATATGTCATATATGTTTATTTCGGGTAAATATTTTCTCTTCATCTGAAATTAGTTTATCTTTTAAACTTGAGCAATTTGGCAGAACAAATAGATTATTTTCTTTGAAACAAATCTATTTATGTCAAATATTCTACCTAATAGAGGTATTGGGAACTGTAGCAATTGCAAATAGATATGATAAAGAAGAAATAAATGATGTTCAGTTTCTGATTTTAGCTTCTGTTACTAGACTAAAAAATCAGAGCTACTTATTTTCATGCACTGCCATCAATGTTTTGTTGATCTAATCTATGTCCAATAAAGACATGATCAAGAACTATTTCAAAGCCCACCAGCTTGGTAGCATTCATCAATCTACTGACATTTTTCTACTTAAAAGTCCTTAAAAGCAGACTATGACTAATGGTTTATAATTTCTTACAGAGAATTTATGAATTTCTCCTTTCCTCTTTGCCCTAGGAATATTTCAGAAATGCCCAGTCTAATGTAATTCAGCCACAGTGTCCTCACCACTATAGGACAAGGTGTTCTGCAAGTGCCAGGGCAGCTACAGGGACTGCTTAAACCCTGCCTTCAGCTTGTTTGTGATCTTTTAGGAAAAGCTCAGGACAAAACAACATAATATAAACAAGTGATTGCAGGGCTTCAGAAAAGGAAATGCTTAATTCCTTTGTAATTTGTATTCCTTATATGAACTCAACAGAAATGATGCCATAAAAAAAGGGGAGATGCCTACATGTAATAGGGAGACTTTTGTAGAAGCACGTTGGCAAATGAAGTTTCTATTAATAAAATACAAATAATTTAGCTGCCACAGCTGGAAATCTCTTACTGCAGCACATATTTCCGTAATTGCTCTAATCCTTGTGTGTTCTTTTGCTCTTTTTGCAGGCAGACCAGTAATGATTGTGGTGGAATATATGGAGAATGGATCCCTAGACTCCTTTTTACGGGTGAGGTGTTCTTTTCTGATGGCATTTAAATAAGATATTCTGAGTTCTAGATTTAAATCATTTATCATAAATTAATTTTTACATAATGTTATTCATGGATTTTTCCATGAAGAATAGCAACATTTTCTCTAGGGTGCATTTCTCCGATACTGTGATACATTAGTGTGTTACCAATGGGAGGAGTATATACATATAATAATATAATTGATTTCTCCTATAAATTCACATGCCTTATTAATATATATATATTTCCAAATGATGTTATAAAGAGATTAAATGAAACTCAGTTGTCTCACATAAACATTCATTTTGTTTTATCACATTTAACTATTCAGCATGATGTTTTATGCATGATCTATAATGCTGAGCCCCTTAAATTGATGTATATTTACGAATAATGACTCAAGTTCATATCAGAAAACTGGTTTTATCACTCTTAAGTTTGTTTGCCTGACTTTCAGAAAACAAAAGAAAAAAGAAAAAACCCTAGCAGAGATTTTTTTCAGAACAAAAAATTTTAAAGCATTCTTTTTAAAATGACTTATCCTTGAAAGTATGGTGTATACAAAAATCATTTGTCTCACATAGTAGTAGAGAATAACAGAGCAATCTTAAAGTTATATTTCAAATGTATTTATAATGTCTTTAATATTTAAAAAGCCATCATATGCTACAAAAATACTCACTGATAGTAAAAAAAAAAACAGAATACAAAAAATAATTACTACAGTAAATATTTTTCATCCCCAGCAGAGGTCACATATTTGAATGTCATTGTATTCTCAAATATTCATCTATCTGCAGAGATATGGCCATTTTCTTACTTATAACATGACTGGACTTTTGCTATTTGGAATATATTATATTATTTTTTATCTTCACTTTCATAGGATAAAAACAGTCTCAAGCATTCTTTCTTCATTTAATTTTTTGTTCTATGTTATTTGGTTAAGTTCTGCGTCTTACCTTCTTTTTTTAAATCTCATTTTCATTTATTTTTCTTGAGTTCATGCCCTCTTTTTCTGACTTCTCTCAATATTAGCAGTAATGATATATTTACCCTGTGACTGGACTTGATGCCCAGATTCAATGCCGGAAGCTGAATTCAGCAAAATCGTCAAGTTATTACAGAGCAATACTCCTCACACAATGCAGGCTCTCAACCAAGAATGCTTTTTAAAGCAAAATGAAATTCATAGGTGTTTGGGGACATGAACTATTTGTTTTTATTTTTTCTGTAGCCATTCTCAGGATGTTATTTTATAACTTGTATTCATTTCTCCTGTAAATGTGCTAAATTATTTTAGAATAAATTATCAGGACCACCTATGGTACTTTGAAATGCATGTATAGTTAGGACCTTCCATTATGTTTATTCAAAAACTCATTCTTATCAGACATATACCAACATGACTTATTCTCTAATGATGCTTGGGATAAGTTATGGATTTTTTTTTTTTTTTGCATCAACTATACCCTAGAGCTGAATATAATGGCAAATAAATGCAGCACATACTCAATCTAAATTGCTCTTGAAAATGGGATCAAATGACTGCCACAGCAAATTAGGAAAGAATTCTTAGCTTCAGATATCCTTTTTATCCTGCTGAATCATGAATTAATTAAAATATATTATAAAGAAAATATAATAGCTTATCAATAAAATATTTATGTAGAAGCATCTTGATACCTGTTTATAAGTGGTATATTTCATGATTTAAAATTTAAAAACTAATATTTTTTGACCTTTGTACATTATATAGGTAAGACGCCACACAGTCTGGGAAAGAATAGATGTTCAGTTAATGGTGGCTATCATTACCACTGCTGTAAGAATCTGAATGTCAATATATGCCAGATCATCTTGGTTCTATCCCTCCCAGCTATGTGACCTTGTGACTTGGGAAAGTTACTAACTTCTCTGTGCCTCTGCTTACTTATCTATAAAATGGGAATATTAACAGCATCTACCTCATACAAGTGTCATTGAGTTGATTATTTTAAAGCTTATAAAATAATACATAACACACTAAGTGGTAGAGTGATCATTCAAACTCAAGTCTCTGACTCAAAAAGCCATGTTCTCATACACTTTTTTAAATAAAATTACTTATTCTTTTTATAAGTTCACTGCCATAGCCCATGTGAACTTGTCTCCTGTCTGCACATAGAATTTCTATTAAGATAAAAATCGCATGCATGAGAAAGAAAAAAAAAAAA